AATGCTATTTATGTATATAGTTATAACGATACATGGGATACGCTATATCATTTGCATTCGTTTTTTATGAGGATGGAAGTGAAGAAAACAATAATTAATTGGAAATCTGTACATATAATAGATAATATACTTCTATTTTTGGTTCCCGAGATATAAAATTATCTTTGAAAATAAAATTTTAGAATATAATATTATCTGGCACATTATTAAAAATATTATATTATTTGATATGATTTATTTGACAAAAATAAAAAATTACATTATTTGGTTAGGAGAATATAAGATTATTTAAAAGAAAATTTTATTGAATTGTAGTTGTATATATTTTCTTTTTAATGTGCTAAAATACATTATTAAATTAAAAAAGTTTACTTGAAAATTCATAAAACTAATTTTATCACACTATCTAAATATTGTAAAAAAGTTATATTCATCGTATTATTAATATAATTAGTATATTAACCACTATTATATATATATATATACCTTTCATTACTCTTCAAAATATTTTTTATGAATTACCAAATACCAAATGTTTAATATGTTTAGATTTTTTAATTTTTTATTATTTATCAAAATTTTGAAATAAATTATAATAAATAATAAAACAAATTTAAAAGTAATAACAATGACCTATTAAAATATATTTAAAGATAAGAAACATATTATAAATCAAAGAATAAAATTAATTATATTAACTATTAATTCATTCACTTTCAAAAATATTCAATCATGCATATAGCCTTAGAAACATCATAAATATAATAATAATAATAATAATAATAATAATAAATGCATTAATTATTAAAGCACTATTTAAATGTGTAATATGATTTAAATATTAAGTTAATATTAAATAAAAGCATTTACTAAATTAATACAATAAATTACTAGTTACATAATTTTTCATATGAACAAAATCTCTTATCTTAAGAGCAATATGATCTGCCCTTGTTTTTATTTAAGCCTCTTGCAATTTTTATATATCTTTGTTGGCCGACTACGATATCTGCTTTGGTGATTGTTGTTGCCCGTCAATATTCTTTGTTTCCTTTATTTTTTATATTGTATTTTTTTCTTTACTTTTCTAATTTTTAATTACTATATTTTTATGATACACTTTTCTCTATATTTACGGTAGATTTTCATCTACTTTTTGACACATTTTCAATCTTTTTTATTGGTCACTTGATTATTCTCATCGATTAATTTTTTCGAGATTAGATTTGATGTTGTTTCGACTGATCAAGATGACACTTATTTGTCATACTGTTAATCTGTCCTGCTTTAGACCCTCGAATTTGATTTGAATATGATATTTGCATTCGAAGATAGTTTTCTCACGATACTCGATTCTGATTTGCAATTGCAAGTGGTCTTTCATTAACTTGATCCCTTGTTGTGGTTAATTTGTCAAAACAGTAAGATCTATTCACATCTATATTTTATTCGAATTTTTAGATAGGTTTTTAAATTTTTATTATATGATCATTGTATGATCTTAAGTGATTAGTTAAGTGGTTAGTTTCTTGTGTAAATGATTATAGAAAATATCCTAAATATGTTTAGTTTTTTGTCTATAATTATAATCCTTTGTTGTAATTTTATTTTTTCAATAAAATTAACAACTTTTATTTACATAAAAACAACAACAATATGATCTAAAATTAATGTACATTATTTAAGATATTAGGAATGACTTTACATCATTTGAGGGAAATACCATTGTTAGAAAAAAATATTACTTTTGGGAAGAATTATTTCAAATTGAATATGAAAAATGTAACTTTGAAGAAAAAAAATACTACACTTGATAAGAATTTTTTTTTGTTCTCCCGGTTCCAAGGTTTCGCCTTGACTAATCCGAATCGACCTTTGTCACACACCTGGATTTGGTGGGTAAGTCTCTCAGTAGGGATTTTCTGCATACACAAGGACTCAAACTTGGGACATTGCTTAAGCGATATCTAACATTATGTTTTGATTACTCGCCGTTAAAATTAAATAGAAATGTTAATGTGATAATTTTTTATATTACTCACTGTCAACATAACAGTTAATTTTTTAACATCAAATGATCAAAATAAAACTAAAACATATCATTAAGTATGATTTTAAAAAACAATATATGAGTGAATAAATAAGTTATTAAATACGTAGTTTACCCAAAAATACTACTTTCAACTCTTTGATTGGTTTCTCAATTTCTACGGATCCTTGATTAAAATATCCGTATGAAGTATCTCCATATCATCTAAAGCCTTTTTTTTTTCTAACGCCATTTTTTGATAACTAAAGAAATAAATGATCTCCTAAACTATGTTACTCAAGTTCCAGTCTTCTTCTTCAAGCAGTATATTATGGGTGAGTATTTGATCGAGTCGAGTTGAATCGAATAAATTTTTTTGAGTTATTCAAATCGACGAATCGTATTTTAAAACTCAAACTTAACTTGAAAAATTTTCGCATGAAGTCGAGTTTAAGAATTTGAGTTGAGTTATTCGAGTCGAGTTATTCAAGTTTCTATATTAATTTTATTATAATTATTTATAGTATTATGGTAAGGATTGATTCCAAAATTTTGACTTTCTCAATGGGTTATGATCCACTTACATTGTGTAAAACTCTTAATTTTACACATTTTTAGGATCGTTAGATTGAGGGAAATCAAATACTGAGATTAACTCATTGTTTTTGTTATCCGGTAAATATCTTCTCATTTTCTACTGCTAGTCTCAACATTTGATTTCCCTCAATTCAATGGTCCTAAAAAGGTGTAAAAAGTATAATTTGAGGATTGAGAGAAATCAAAGGCTAAGATTAACTCCTTATTTTTTTAGTTAATATCTTCTCATTCTCTATTGTTAATCTCAACCTTTAATTTTTCTCTCCTAAAAAGAATAATTTGATGTTGCCCCTATATATATATATATTTCATATTCTTTTCACATTATAATATTATTTAATATATCAAATACAATCTAAATATATATATATATATATATATATATATATATATTACATTTTAAAGAAAGTATTTTGAGGGTCAAATATTAATGGGAGTATATAAAAGAGTCAAATAATTGATGGGAAGAAAGAATTGTAAACAATTACAGTAAAAAAATCAAATTGAGTAAAATAAAAAGTTAAGAGACTAAATAAAAAAGAGAATTCGTTTTTAGTAAAGAATAATAATTGAAGTTATATAGGTATTCTATAGTGCTATATGAGCACGTGGCTCAAATTTTATAAAAACATACTTAAAATAAAGGATGAATTAAATAAATAAGGAAATTATGAAAAATTCAAGGATTAAAATAAAAAAATATTATTTTAAAAATAGAAAACTTATTATCAAAAAGAGGAATTAAAAGTACATATGTATTCTACTATGGTTTAGGAGTATGCGGTTTAAAATTGGTAAAAAAAATGAATTTAAAATGAATGATGAATTGAATGAATAATGAAATCAAATACTAACTCGTAAAACTGTCAAAATACTTAGTTAAATTTTTGGATTTTCAAGTTACTCAAAATTTCTAAATTTCAAATCGACTTGAACTCGAAAACCGAATTGATAATTTGAGTTGACTCGAACAACTTAAAATAAAAAAATGATTTTTTGAGTCAAGTCAAACTTGCTCGCCCCTAGAATGTCATATAGGCCTAATGAAGGCTTTGAAATTATGTAGCATCATCCATCTGCAAGCAGGGACAGAACAAAGATTTTAATTCAGGGAGGTAAAGTATAATTAACAATAGAAAATAGAGGTAAAATCAAAATAAATCAAAATTTAATCAGGGAGGTAAAGTATAATTAACAATAGAAAATAGGGGCAAAATCAAAATAAATCAAAATTTAAAGGTCTAACTTAATAATTATCCCTATTTTTTTAATAGTAAAGAAAATGGGTGCTACATAGCCCCGTCACATGTCTCCAAGTCGAGCCAACTCAAATAACACAACAAGATGTCATTTCATTCGACTGATCACTCGCACCATCCGCATTCAGTTTAAACCACCCAGTGGTGGAGGTATGCATCAAGCTTCAGACCTCGCCTGTTGTCCTACAATAGTTCCAAGTTCCTTTCCTGTTGCGTTGGCTCTGCATGTTTCAACAACTAATCTTCAGCTACGCTCAAGTATCATTTCCCTTTCGACATTTTTAGATCAAAGATTTGCTTGTTCCGCTGCATCCATAACTTTAGTGACGAATCCAAAAATTTAAAAATAGATGTCCAAAATTTTAATATTATTTTCTTAAAAATAACGGGTATGTAAAATTTTATTATTTTTATAAATTAATAGAGATGCACTTAGTCCCTATTAAAGCTGAGTGTATCCGCCCTGCATAAGCTCCAAATGATGGACTCAAATAATATGTCTCATGTTTCCCGATTAATAGTTAATAAGGAGAAAAAAAGTGCATGAAAATTTTAAAAAAAGAATGTCAATATCGTTGTTAGTTTTTGGATAATAGCTGATCAAATAAAAAAATTATATAAAAATAAATAATAATTTAATAACTAATGATATAATTTTTTTGTTACTCTACTGATTTTAAGGTCGTGCTTTGATTATTCTGGACCAACCTACTTAGTACACTTAATTTTTATGAGTGATTTTCTAGGAGAGATTTTTTACATATACAAAAATTCAAACTCGAGACATTACTTAAGTGATATAAAATTTTTTATCACTTGAATCAATCCTATTGGTGATATAATTTACTTTTTTATTTATTTAAAATTTAAAATATTCGCATGATTAATGTTTAACAATGATGATCAAAATAAAAAAATATATAACAATATTATAATATTGTTTGAAAAATAATTTAATGATTAAAATAAAAATATATATATAGTCTAGTGGGTAATGGTGCATAGTTTACTTAAAATAAATAAATAAATAAAAATCGCAATCATTTGATATGTTTTCAGAACTACCCATTATATAACAGCTAGCTGATTCATCAGGAGCGTGGCAATGGCTTCTTGGTTGGTGAAAAGTCAACCGCAGCTATCTCTTTCTCCATTTCCCCTTCTTTCTCATTCCCTTTTCCCCTCATCTTCCAACTTACCTACTAAAACCTAACATTTTCATTTGAGTTTCGTTTTGTGTTTTGTCAACTCGGAAATGATTTGCAGAGTGAGATTCGGCGGATGCATATTGGCCCTCTGCCTCTGCCTTGCTGCGGCTGCTTCTCCTATTACCCATCCTTCTGAAGGTTTGTCATTCTCACTTACAGTTCTGATTGACGCTGATCATGAGAATACAATTTGAGCCCAAATAGCAATAATGATAGAAATGACTCATGATTTCGCTTTTGACTTTTGCTAATCTTGAATCCGTTGGCGCCGCCTGGAATTTCGTTGTTTGCTATTTATTAAGATTTCCCAATTGCAGTTAGTGCATTACGAGCAGTGAAGAAGCAATTGGTTGATCCAATGAACAATCTCAGAAATTGGAGCAGAGGGGATCCTTGCACAGCCAACTGGACTGGAATTCTATGTTCTAATGATCTTGGGGATGATGGATATTTGCATGTTCTGGAACTGTACGTTTACTCTTGCATTCTCCACACCTAAGGGTGTAAATGAACCAAGCTTGAATGAACAAAGCTATGTTTGTGTTCGATTATTTATTTTTGAATGTGTTTGTGTTCGTATTCGGTTCGTGTTAGTTTAAATTTTCAGCATCATGTTCTTGTTCGTTTATTTCTTTCTTTAGGTGTTTGTGTTCATTTATTTAGCGTTTTGCGAACATGTTTGTTTAATGTATGTGAACGTGTTCTTTTAATGGTCATTTACAGCCCTATCGACACCTAATTATGGTTGAGTTGCTTCTTGACTTTTCGATCATTTTTCTTTTGATTATCAAAAAAGTTGGTGCTCATTGTTGATGCTAACTGCTTTCTGTAATTGATGCAGTCAGGTACTGAATATGAATCTCTCAGGAACTTTAGCGCCTGAACTTGGCCAACTTTCTCGTCTCAGAATACTGTGAGTTGGGTTATGAATTTGAAAATGCACCATAAACATTCCTGACATATAATTTCCAGTGGAGCTAACATCTTTTCTCTTTTATTTGTGGAAGAGATTTCATGTGGAATGAATTGACTGGCACTATACCAAAGGAGATAGGACATATCTCTCCCTTAAGACTCCTGTAAGTTGGATCTTTCTTATTCTTTCTTCTTCAATAAAGAAATTGAACAAAACAATAAATTTCTTTATTGAAGGTGGATCAGAGGGGATACTTTACAGAAAAAGTTCATCTTTTTCTTAATCATATTATTTATATCAATCTAAGCCTTAAATTTATGGCGTGGAGATTAAAATATCTACATGAGAAGCTCTTGAGATTGGCGGTGACATGGTTGTTATGCAAAAATTTGAAGAAAAATGTGATATTTTGCTAGTTTTTAACTTTGTGTGTGGCATTCTGTATGCAGGCTCTTGAATGGAAACAAATTATTTGGTTCTTTGCCAGATGAACTTGGCTACCTTTCAAAGCTGAATAGACTTCAACTAGATCAGAACAACATTTCTGGTCCAATACCAAAAACGTTTGTCAACATGAGCTGTGTGAGACATCTGTAAGTGGACCTACATGCTAAATGCCATTTCAACTTTACATGGAGATGACCACTTAAATGAATTTCAGCTTAAAAAGGAGAACTATTTACTAGTTGTTTGTAATGTGCAGCCACCTCAACAACAACTCCTTTAGTGGCCAAATTCCACCGGAGTTATCTCAGATACCCACTTTGCTTCACTTGTAAGTTCATTTAAAACATGCTCTTATTATGCATATTTCTTTTCTTTTGTATTGCTATCCATATTTTACTTGGTTTTTATTCTGGTAGTCATTGGTGATATAAAAGTTTTATTGTTTGCAGGCTTTTGGATAACAATAACTTATCTGGATACCTTCCTCCTGAATTCTCAAACTTGCCAGAACTGCGCATACTGTATTTTTCTTCCCTTCAAGCATCTTTCCCATTATGTGATTTAGTTATTTGACATTATCTTGCAGCTTTAACTTTCTTTTCTGTTGATGATCTGCCCTTTTTCTTATCAAGCTAAGCGTTTGTCACTAAAATCTTACGTAACCAACTTTAATAAGGCCTACATGTCATTTTTCTTATTTATCTATTAATTATTTTGGCATTAACTGTTTTCAACATTTCTGCAGTCAGCTTGATAACAATGACTTCAGTGGATCTGTTATTCCAGCTTCATACGGAAACTTTTCGAGATTAGTGAAATTGTGAGTGTCGGTAAAACATTTATTTAGTCTTAGAGTTTATTTAGCGAGTTAAAGAAAACGTTTAAGCTTACAAAGTTAGTGATTTGTTGTATCCCTTATGAATTAAAAGAATCATAAAAGAACATGGACTTGCCCTTGAGATAGAATAAATCATTTCAATTATAACATATACCTAATTTTCTCCTCAACGTTTAAGTCGGGAATTTGTATTTAATATCATGAACTAAACTGTACACACAATATGTTTTTGCACAAATCTACGGAAGACTACTGATGCTATTTATTTCACTTGGTGTCTTTCAGAAGCCTTAGGAATTGCGGCTTGTGGGGAGCTGTTCCTGATCTTAGCAGGATACAAAACCTTTCCTATCTGTATGTCTGGGTTACTCTTTTAATTATTGTGTGATATTTAATATTTTCCTTCTTGGGATGCATTTATTTTATGCAATGCGGAAAATTTCTGTCTTATTTCAGCCAACAAACTTAACATATATTCTTGTATGTGCATTCATGTGGCAGGGATCTTAGCCAGAATCATCTTACTGGACCCATACCAACAAATAAGCTTTCAGATCACATGACAACCATGTAAGTGGAGTGCTAATTTAAACTCATCTAGTGTCTTGTTTGAGTAACTTAATAAACTTGTATTTTTAACTGCTCCAATCTGGATATGCCAATTGCCTAAATATTTAACTAAATGATAAGTTAATCTTTTGAAATTTGTACTATTACCTTCTTTTGATTATTTAATAAATTGAAATCTAGAAAAATTCCCAGTAAGAGATGACTTCTTTATTGCAGTGATCTTTCAGATAACCAGCTAAACGGAACAATCCCTGCAAGTTTCTCAGACCTTCCTTCACTTCAGACTCTGTGAGAACCTATATGCATATAAAACTGTTCTATATTTCCTGTTGTCAAATGATGCTCAATATATTTACATTTTGCAGAGTCTAGAATCTAAATGATGGTTTATTGCAGATGTCTCGAGAATAATTTTATGACAGGTCCCATTCTTACCGACATTTGGCAGAACATGACTTTCAGTACTAGTGCTAGACTTAAGCTGTAAGATCTGAAAGTAGTGAACTCACTTTTTATTGAACATAATGTGTCTTTAATTTTCGTGCACATTGCAAAGCACTGCTCTCATGAAATAGAATGCATTGGTAATAGTTTCCCTTTGTCTGCATGTCTAAAATGAAGAGATCTTAGAAACAATTCCTTCTCAAGCATTCAAGGACATCTAAATCCTCCGGTGAATGTTACCTTGAGGTAAATTTCTTATTTCGTTGTTTCATCCATTAGCCTTGTTCAACATGTGGTTTAATGTTCCCATGTGGATACCTCCAACTACTGGTCATTTTTCGTCATGCATTCTTTTTTCTTTTAGTTTTATTATCAAAATCCTTACAATTTTAGCAGTTTTTCTTTAGGCTTGAAGGCAATCCTGTCTGCAAAAATGAAAACTTATTGAATGTAGACTTGTTCTGTGGATCTGAATCTGGAGAGAATGAGATGCTTACAAACTTAAATAACACAACAGCGAATTGCCCAATTCAAGCATGCCCAAGAGACAATTACTATGAATATGTCCCAGCATCTCCTCTGCCATGTTTCTGTGCAGCACCTCTCAGAATTGGATATCGTCTGAAGAGCCCTAGTTTTTCTTATTTTCCTCCTTACATCCAGCCTTTTGAGGCGTACATGACTCGTTCTTTGAACTTAAGCCAATATCAACTGTCAATTGATACATATTCGTGGGAGAATGGACGTCTGAGGATGTACTTGAAGCTTTTTCCTAGCATGAATAACAACAACTCTAGTACTTTTAATGTTAGCGAAGTTCAGAGAATCAGATGGAGATATATGTCATGGACTTTTCCCGGTAGCAACTTGTTTGGACCCTATGAGTTGCTCAATTTTACTCTACTTGGACCTTATGCGGATAGTACGTACTTCATCTTGCAATTCTTATGGAATAATGTTTTCTTATTTATATTGACATGGCTGAAATAGTAATTTGGAAGCTGATTTTCATTACTACCATGAGGATTATTAAATAAATACCGCCTAAATTTATATATTCTTATTCTTGAACTTTTAGGACAGAACTTCTAGTTATATAGAAATTAAATTAGCATAAATATTGGTAGAATCTCCATCTTTATAAACAAGAAAACCAATCTGGGCCAAATCAAGCTGCCTTGTCATGTAGATGATACACATTTGAGAAAAGCAAGACCGTGTTTTTTTCTACAGTGAGTTACAATGTAAGGTGGATGCAAATCGTTTTATTCTAAGAATAAAATAGCAAGCCATTTGATAGTTTAATTATCTACTTAATATTTCTTTATTCTTCATTTTATTATTAATAATGCACTGATTGTTTTGTTATTTGCTCAGTTAAGTTTGAGGAGAACACTAAGGGTGTTAGAAAGGGCGTTTTGGTAGCCATTGTGGTTGGGGGTGCTGCCTGTGCAGTTGCAGTGTCTGCTATAGTAGCAATTCTAATAACAAGAAAAGCTGGACAACGTCAAGCAATGACAAGAAAACGTTTGTGTAAGCTCGTTAATATAACTATTTGATTTCTTTTTCCCAATAGCATGATCTCCAACTATCACCAGAAGAGGAGTCTAGTCTATGTATCTTATTGTGCTTTGCAGCTTCAAAGGTTTCTATGAAGCTTGATGGGGTGAGAGACTTCACATTTAAAGAAATGGCACTGGCTACTGACAACTTTAACAACTCAAGTCAAGTTGGACAAGGAGGATATGGAAAAGTGTACAAAGGCACTTTAACTGACAAAACAGTTGTTGCCATAAAACGTGCAGAAGAAGGATCTTTGCAGGGACAAAGAGAATTTCTTACAGAGATAAAGCTTTTGTCAAGGCTGCATCACCGAAACCTAGTTTCATTGGTTGGATATTGTGATGAAGAAGGGGAACAGGTACATTTTTGTGGTCATTATCATTATGTACCTGTATTAAGTCAATTACATGAGTGGGTTGGGCTGTGCATGTGCATTTCTTTGTGTTCTTAAGGTGTGGATTTTAAAACTCTAAGAAGTATATTAGTTAGTTTTAGCTACACAAGGTGATACGCGATCTTGTTCTGCTGGAAACGCTTCATAAGGTGAGAATCAATTAAATGTAAAATTCATATCCTTGTGTTGTTGGTCCATTTGCAGATGTTGGTATATGAGTTCATGCCCAATGGCACCTTGAGGGACTGGCTTTCCGGTACGTAATTTTTCAGTATTCATTGTCTTTAAAGTTTTATTATGTAACAAATCTTATCATCATCCTTTAAATCCTAAAGTGTTTAGATGGGCTATAAGTTCAGCGTTAATCATGTACTGTCACCATTTGAAGCCAGTAATTGGCTACTTAGCTTGTAATACTATATATGTTGATGTTGACACTCAATATGTTTTTAAAATGTCTTCTCAGCTCATAAAATTAATCTAAAACATGATATTGCAGCTAAATCCAAAGAAAGCCCAAATTTTGGAATGAGATTACGTATTGCACTAGGCTCGGCCAAAGGAATTCTTTATCTCCATACTGAGGCAAATCCTCCCGTATTCCACCGAGATATCAAAGCTAGCAACATTCTTCTCGACTCCAAGCTCAATTCAAAAGTTGCCGATTTCGGTCTCTCACGGTTAGCTCCAGCCGTCGAAGACGAGGGAACTGTTCCAGATCATGTTTCCACTGTTGTGAGGGGAACACCGGTGAGTTTGAATCCATTGTAAGATCTAGCCATGACTAGAAAGCATCCTATTGCTCTTTATGCTTTACTTTATATTCGGAGTCTTGGACTCATTGTGTAGTATGAAACTAATCTAAAATCTGTCAGATTAATCAGGTATCAAAAAGTCATTCAAATATATGGTCCGATAAATGTATAAGCGTAACTTATTTATTTTTATTCTGGGAGAGTTTTTAGCATTTCAGTTGCAGTATTGATTGAGCATTTGATCCCCTTTTAGCCATAAACTTTGTAGATGTTAGTCACTATATAGCATACTATTTATTGCTCTCTTGTGTGCAGGGGTACCTTGATCCTGAGTACTTTTTGACCCATAAATTGACAAACAAAAGTGATGTTTATAGCCTTGGAGTTGTTTTCCTGGAGATGTTGACTGGAAAGCGACCGATATCGCATGGCAAAAACATTGTCCGTGAGGTACTTTATGTTCCTAGCAAAATCCTGAATGAAAGCTGCAAGTACATTTTTTTCTGCTACTTTTTTCAAATTTGGTGAATGCTGATGTTGTTCTGGATCAAAAAGCTATACTTATTATTTTTGAATATCTTGTGTTAAGGTGAATACGGCGCATCAGTCCGGCACGATGTTCTCGATAATAGATGGTAGAATGGGTTGTTATCCATCCGAATGCGTTGAGAGATTTGCAGGGCTAGCTATGCGTTGTTGCCAAGACAAGACTGATAATCGTCCGTCAATGTCGGATGTGGTGAGGGAACTAGAATTCATACTGAAAATGATGCCAGATAATGAATCAGTTTCATCAGATTCCGCTTCATCGTCTTCTAATTCAGGCAAGTTGTTACAGTCATCTTCAGCTTCAGCGTCTTATGTTTCGTCATCGAATGTTTTGGGTAGTGATCTTAGCAGTGGCGTTGTTCCGTCTATCACACCTCGCTGAGCGGTAACAGGCAGGCAAGACATACATACACACACATACATATACAGATACCATGATCATCATATAGCAGTGTTCCTTCATATTGTTGCCTACCGTTTGTTTGATTTTGGTACGAGCGAGCGTATGAGATTAGAGGGCATGAATGAAAATTGTTGTGCAACTATTAACACCTAGTGTAAAGTATCAAAACCATGTTCATAAACAGGGATTGGTTTAAACTGTGATCGACTATCGAAATAACAACCGTTACGTAAAAGTATCGTCCGATTATTTCATAACCAAAATACTCACAATGATCTTAACCAGGGATTGGTTTAAACTGTGATCGATTATCGAAATAACAACAGTTATGTAAAAGTACCATCCGATTATTTCATAACCACAATACTCACGATGATCATAATAACACCTATTGTTGCAGCAAAAGCAACCGCTACATAAATCTCAGTTCATAGCATTAGCTTTACCATTCTAAAGCTTTTCCAAATTATTTCTTGATTGAAGAGAATAATTCAAACCAAATCAGAAAGAAATAACAGAATTGAATTTCATTTGAACCAAAATGATCCAAATCCAATCCACAGAACATCAAGAAAATTCGATAATATAATATAAACCCTAAATGGAAATAGTAGTAAATATTGCGGAAGACGGCTATCGGATAAAGCAAAATCGCAACTGATAATTTGAGAAAATAAAAATGAAGATAAAGGAGACACAAAATTTACGTGGAAAACCCCTAAATAATATAGGGTAAAAACCACGGGCAAAGGTAGAAGAATTTCACTATGAGAAAATAGGAATTACAACATCTCCCGATCTACCAGGAGAAAACAATGATAATTCTCTCTTGATAAAAAGGAGAAAACAACTCTCAAGAAACTCTCTAAATTCTCTAGTATTGGAAGAAAGCTAGAATGCTTTGGGATGATTTTGAAGCTAAATGAGCTAGGGTATTTATAGTTGAATCTTAAGGACTAATTTATAAATACCCTAAATTATAGTGACTAAAAGTATAATTTTATCATCACCAAAATTCAACAAAAGCAGCACTATTCGGTGCCTAATTTTTTTCTCAACAATATCATGTTGGTTGGCACTGAAATGTTTTGCCAACTTGTTGATTTTGTTTTCAACATTCGGTGGATTTGTCCACTTTCAACAATCTCCCACTTGAAGATTTGATTGTAACAACCATATCTTCACACCATTCCTTCTACCTTGTACATTCATGTTGCTTACGTCTCTGACAGGCCACAAGAGGATCGACACCAAGAAAATTTATCAGCATTGATCGCCTTTGTCATGAAATCTGCTATGTTGTCTTTGGTATGAATCTTCTGCATATCTACTGTCCCTTCTTCCACCTTTTCACGAATGAAATGGTACTGAACTTGTATGTGCTTTGTCCTTGAATGAAACGCTGAATTCCTTGCTAGATGCAAGGCGCTTTGACTATCACAAAATAGAGAGACATACTCTTGATTGTGCCCAAGCTCCTCCAAAAGCATTTTCAACCAAATTGCTTCTTTACTGGCTTGTGTAGCTGCTACATATTCTGTTTCTATTGTGGATGTAGCCACAACTGACTATAATTTTGAAACCCAGCTTACAACTCCACCAGCAACTTTGAACACATATCTTGTAGTAGATTTACTTTTATCCAAATACCCTATATAGTCAGAATCTACATACCCATTGATTAGTAAGTTTGATCCTCTGTAACATAATGCAACATTTGAGGTCCCTTTGATGTATCCCAGGATCCTCTTTACTGTATTCCAATGCTCTTTGCCTGGATTCGCCATGTACCGACTAACCACTCCTACTGCTTGTGCAATGTCTGGTCTTGTGCATATCATAGCGAACATTAAACTTCCCACTGCTGATGCATACGGTACTCGAGACATCTCCATCCTCTCTTCTTCACTGCTAGAACTCATACTGGAGGATAATTTGAAGTTAATAAAAAGAGGGGTAGAAATTGGCTTACAATCTTGCATGCTGAATCGTGACAAGATTTTCTTCAAGTAATTCTTTTGTGAAAGCCAAATCTTCCTATTACTTCTATCTCGGTGAATTTGCATCCCTAGAATCTTGTTTGCTGATCCCAAGTCCTTCATTTCAAATTCCCTAGCCAGTTGTGCCTTTAATTCTTCAATATGATCTTTGTTGGGTCCTACAACCAACATGTCATCCACATACAACAGCAATATAACAAAATCGTTATCACCAGACCTCTTGAAATAAGCACAAGGGTCTGCATTAAGTCTGTTGTATCCAAGGCACATAATGAAGGAATCAAATCTCTTATACCAACACCTCGGCGCCTGCTTTAGACCGTACAGAGATTTGTTCAACCTGCAAATCAAGTTCTTATTTTCTTCTTCTTCAAAACCTTCAGGCTGGAGCATATAAATCTCTTCTTCAAGATTTCCATGAAGAAAAGCTGTTTTAACATCTAGCTTCTCTAGATGTAAGTTCAATGTAGCACACATTGCCAAAACTACACGAATTGTTGTTAGTCGAACCACATGAGAAAATATTTCATTGAAATCAATACCTTCTTTTTGAGCATATCATTTGACCACCAGTCTTGCATGATACCTCTCCACTTGATCGTCACCATTTCTCTTGATTTTGAAGACCCATTTGTTACCAATTGGCTTCCTTCCTTGTGGTAGTGACACAAGGTCCCATTTATTATTTTTATGAAGGGCTTCAATTTCTTCTTGCATCGCCATCATCCACAGTGAAGCATCTGAGCTGTTTATTGCCTCCTGATATGTTGATGGCTCACTGTCCTCTGTTAAAAGGCAGTATGCAATATTACCTTCTATAACATAATCTGAGTGCCAATTGGGACGTCTTCTCACACGATCTGATTAACGAGTTGTTGGAGCTTCAGAACTCTCTGGTTCTTGTTCATCATGTGCTGGTTCTGCTTCAGAAGAATCTCCTTGTTCAACCTCATTTTCCACATGTATCTGTGTAGTCTCTGACTTTTCAGCGCTATCATTGCCTTCTTTTCTTTGTAGTTTATCTTCTACAAAGATAACATCTCTACTGATGATCACTTTACGGGCAGTGGGATCCCATAAGTGATACCCCTTTACTCCATCAGTATACCCCAAGAATTTGCATTTCCTGGATTTTGGATCCAACTTTGAAATTTCTTGGGAGTTGTACATCACGTACACTATACTTCCAAATACATGGAGGTTTGAATAATCAGCTGGTTTTCCAGTCCACATCTCCATTGGTGTCTTCAGCTCTATTGCAGTTGATGGAGCTCGATTCACCAAATAATAGGCGGTATTGACTGCTTCTGCCCAGAATGATTTTTATAGGCATGCATCCCTCAACATTGCTCTTGTTTTTTCTAACAAGGTTCTGTTCATCCGCTCTACCACTCCATTTTGTTGAGGAGTGTTCGCCACTGTGAACTGTCTTTTGATGCCTTCTTTCCTGCAAAAGTCATCAAATTCTTTGCTTGTGTATTCTCCTCCATTATCTGTTCTGAAACACTTGATCTTATTTCCAGAATCAAGTTCCACCCGCGCTTTGAAGTTTTTGAAAGTTGAAAACACGTCTGACTTCTTCTTAATAGGGTGCACCCAACATCTCTTGGAGTAGTCATCAATAAATGAGACAAAGTATTTTGCTCCACCTAGGGACGTTACTGGTGCTTACCATACGTCAGAGTGAACCAATTCTAGAACACTTTTTGACTCTAGAATTTGATGTGTTGAATTTCAACCGGTGTTACTTACTTGTTATGCAATGCTCACACAAAGTAAATGATACCTTTGTTAAGCCTGGAAGTAGCTTTTGCTCCACAAGGACTTTCATTCCTTGTTCTGACATGTGTCCAAGTTTCTTATGCCATAGCATTGAAGAATCTGAACTACATGAGGCAACAGAGGCTTCTGCTTCTAGCAATGTCTCTCCCTTCAGCATGTACAAGTTTACAGCTATCTTTTCACCTTTTAGCACCACAACCGCTCCACGGAACACCTTCATGATTCCTTTCCGTGTTTCAATCTTGCTAGCATTATTATCCAACAATCCGTAGGATAATAAATTTTTCTTCAGACCTTTCACGTGCCGCACATCTCGAACAACTTTAATTGTTCCATCATACATCTTCAATTTGATGGTTCCCATACCAACGATCTCTAAGGCATGATCATTGCAATTATACACAGATCCTCCTGAGACAGGTTCATAATGATGGAACCATTCTCTTCTTGAGGTCATGTGATATGTTGCTCCCGAATCAATGAGCCATATATCTGCAAATCTTTTTCTTCCCTCCACGATGGTTGACGCTTCACAACATAGAGCATCTCCATTATCTGAAGTGTTTGCGGTATTGCCTTGTGGATTGGAGTTTTTATTTAGACTCCAACAATCCTTCTTCAAGTGACCTTTCTTTCCACAGTTGTAACACTTTAAATTCTTCTTGCTTCTCGACTTCGATCTACCATGTTTGTGACTGCTGCTTTGGCCACGTTCTGTTGATCCTCTCATCATTGTCATCGTTGTCAACGCTTCTGCTTGTTGCAGATTTACTTGTATGTCTTCCTTGTTCTTACGCCGATTTTCTTCTTGTAGAACAACAGCTGCAACGTCATCGAAGACTAGACTGGTGACATTACTGTTTGTCAAGTTGATGATGAGTTGATCATATGAATCCGGTAGACTTTGAAGTAGAAGTTCAGCACGTTCTTGTTCTCCTATTTTACAGCTTAAGGATGTAAGCTGAGAAAATAAAGTGTTCAGTGTATTTAAGTGCTCCGTCACTGAAGTAGATTCTGGCATACAGAGAGTGTACAATTTTCTCTTAAGGAAAATTTTATTGTGCAGCGATGTGGCCTCGTACAGTTTGGTGAGATGATCCCATATCTCCTTAGCTGTCTTCTTCTCTTCGATACTTGCCAATACTTCATCTGCTAATGCTAGATGAAAGTTTTCCATAGCATTTCCGTCCATTTCAATCCATTTGTTGTCGTCTGTAAAATCTACTGGCCTTTCGCTGATAGCTGCTAGACAACCGTCTTTCCTCAGGATGACCTTCATCTTCAATTTCCACAATGAGAAATTTCTCCCATTGAACTTTTCAATATCAAATTTCGTTGCCATTGCTTCGTTTATCGATAGCTCCCACTATTTCACTATCGTGAATAGTTCTCTAGAACC